AGGTTAATTTTCGGTTCTAGTGAATATTCATATAAAAATACAAGTTGAAACGCGTTACTTCCTTGTGGAATGTGATGTTATACTACAAATTTTCTAGTATGATCCCTGTGACACTTCATTTGATGTTTTCACAGGGATGAGGTAAAGTCGATAGATTTTTGAAGAATGAATTGTGTATAAATAATATTTATTTTATTTCTGATATCCGATCCGTTATTTCTATGGAATAGGTACAGGTACCGGAGAAGAAATAAATTAAATGTAAACGCAGTCTTTGTTTATGATACAATAACAATCAGCAACCAAATTAGCGTGATTTACAGAGACTCTACTGTCATCAGTCCGTAGACAACTTAATTAATGCTTTCTGTACAAAAATGAAAGTCCTAGCCATTGAAATAACAAATTAATAACGTTAAGTCCGTCTTCTGTGAAATTTGGTTTGGTGCAGATACGTGCCTTTTACCAATACTACAGACGTGAATTTGCACTATCCACGACGTTATTTATTTATTCAATAAATTATCGAAAACTTTTTATCGTTATACCTCATCTCTAGCAAATGCAGTCTAATGAAGTAACCTTGGTACGTTGTCGTAAATTTAAATTCATTTTTGAAAAAAAAATGTTTCTCTGGGCATTTGTCACTAATTTGGTGTTACTTTTACTTTAATTTATGTATTTGCTTAAACAAAAGTTATTCACTTAAAAGCGAGACTTATAAAAATAGTTGAGACTTATAAAAACACGCATTTTATATACGTAAATTAGTAGACTTCGTTACAAGGTTATATTATGGAGAATTTTGTGAAGTGTCACAGGGATCGTCCTAGAAAATTTGTAGTATAGTATCTATTTATTTTTCTGACATATTGTCAGAAAAAGAAATTTGTCTAAAAAAAGTTGTAAAGTTTGTTTGACGTATTTTTACACTCATTTACCGCAAATTTCGTTATTTTTAGCTAAAATTCTTGAGCTGTTCGCGGTGCAAGTTGACCTTGAGCACTGAAGGCCCGCCCGCTCGTGTAGACCCATTGGGCGCGCATCAATTTGCCTCACTTAGCGTATGCGGACTAGGTTTCTATGCGTTATTATTCTATGGAACCAACTCCCATCTGAAATCCTATTTTCAAAACTGAATTTCGTAAATATCTTCTGACACGGTCCTAGTCTGCAACGTGTATATATATTTAGTGGTAAGTATAAGTTTATTTAGGCCATCTTGTATATAACCAGAAATTGAGACGAAATAAGGGCCATATGTTCCTGGTAATACATTAGCGATACAGCTCTTATAAATATCAATCCCGTTTGCACTGAAATATAGACAGGCCAACTCCTGACCTGTGTGTACGTCTCCGTATATTCCAAAAAATATTCTGTATTTATTGTAATAAAGATAATATCTCTAACAACGCCGTGCTGTAATATTCGGTGGTAGGGGAAAAACAGCAAAACATCTAATTAAAAAACAAACGGGAACACATTTCATTGGTAATTAAATATTAAAAACGTAATTTTGCAATTTTCGTCCATTATAGCAAAGCTCAAGTAAAACTGGTCGATTTAAAGTGAAACACAACACGGGACACTCGTCAATTGTTTCGAACTCGGGCTAGCCAATCGGAGCGCAGTTGTCACAGTAATGATATGGCAGAATAGTTTTCAAACAAATTAAATGACATTTCGTCTCTATTTCTGGTTATATACTCGATGATTTAGGTATATTTATATATACTAATATATATGTAGGTAGTCATTTATTATTTGATAAAATATAATTTAAGTTTTTGTTTATTTATACAATTCAAATTTTGCTATTGGCACACTATGTATTCCATTCTGATTAGCTTTCCTCTATCGCAAAGGTTAACTGGAAGACATCGCTCTTAGCGATAAGGCCGCTTTTGCCCACATTAGTTTTAACAGTCACTGGAATCTCATTTTTATATCTAGTATGAAAACCTCACATTATGAAACAGAAATTAAATGCTGAACAATTTTGAATTTGGGGCACTCTAGTATACACACTACCAAACAGTGAGAGGTACGGTTATAAGCGGGCAATAGCGAGCAAGAGATAGTGCAGAAGAAATATAATAAAGTAATAAAAAAATACCATTATTTGAATCATAATAAATAGCAATAATATGTAAATAGTGTAATATATACACGTGGGTACACATATACATAAATAAGGATGTAAAAAAATACAATAAGATTATTGCTAAGAGATGTCATGTTTTCAACACCAAGTGACCGCTTCAGTTCTATAATTAATTAATAGCGCGTCTGACGACCCGTGGTATGCAACGCGAGTGCACTGCGAGTTTATGTGAATGTGTGCATCCGTAAATAGCGCGCGGTGGGCGTGCACATACATATGTGTGCCGCGCTGTTACGTTTTTGTGATTATATATATACTTATCTTAATCTTATTATACTATGATCAAACTTTTCTAACAATACAATAAATAACATAACATCAGCTATATCACACAACAGCTATATGCGTATAAGAATTAGAAAGCCTCTTCTCCCCCATGCAGAAATACATTATGCTACCAGTGGGGGGTGACAGGAATTAATCACTTCTCAGCCACCGCCATAACTTTACAATAGCTGCTTTCGCCGAAAAAGTTTTTGGAATTTTTACTCTCGTTATAATATCATGTGATATATAATATAATACATTTGAATTGTGTTTTATCCAGATTTTACATAGTTTTAAATGACTATCAAATTCTATGCCGAATATGATATGATACCTAGTGACGGAACGAACAAGTCGTGCACCTGGTGGCAAGCAACACTCAGAGCTTTAAATCGCATAGATCTGAGTGGCAATGCAACCTGTGACATAAATTAACAGGTCCCATGTTGCTGTAATTTCACTAACACCCTTCAAAACCGGTAAATTGTTCACATTACTTTTTTAAAATTTTATTTTATTCAATGAACAAAGTTTCAACGGCATTCTTAAACTTATTTGACAAATGTATTTAAGCAGTACAAAAGACAATTACAGAAACTCACTATGTATACAAAACATGTGATATTATTATTACAACATTGGGTAGAAAAATAAATTTAAATTGGTACAATAAAAACTGAGTTCATCAATTGTCGTGTATAGGTCTGTGTAAGTATATGTGTGTATACGTGATGGAGCGTGAGTGCCTAGTTCGCCTCCCCCTATTTCCTCAGAGAATGTGCTAGGCAGGTAAAACTAACAAAGAAAGAAACTGCTCGCATCGTTAGTGCTTGCAACTCGGCTTACATGGCGCACGAAATCGACGCAAATAAAACTGTTTAAGAAAATAAGTTAAAGTAAAATGGTTCAATTATAGTAATTGAGTTAAATATTCAAATAAATTATATAATGTTAACGTTGATTATTTAATAAATTAATAAATTACCGCTTGGTAGCAGTACAGTCCCTGGGCGAACTCTTCCACAAGAAGCTCTACTGCTAATATCAGCCTTAGACTATTTAGCAACGACTCTCTTATGAAGTCGAAGTTACAGAATGTCTATCATAGCAGAAAAGTGGTCTGCTTGTCGGTTTTTCATCGGATACAATCCGAAGAGCGTGCGCAGGAACTTTTCAATTTAGGTTCACCTTCACCGTTTCTCCTCGTTTGATTAGAAAGTCCAGAACACTCGATCCTAAACCACCCATTGCATGAAGCGCTTTGCTCCTTCCTAATTTGTGCGGCAGTGGAATGGAATGCGCTGCCGGCCATCTGTATTTGCCAAAAGATTAAATTTACAGCTATTTAAGGCTAATATTAATAAACATTTTATAGACAAATTGTCTTGTTCTAAAAGTGTATTCCAATTAGTTTTTAAGAATTTCATTTTATGCCCGAAACCAAGGAAGGAAACAGCGTTGCGTCTGCGAGCGAGAACTTATACGTTCACGAACAATAACGCAAACGTCCGAACTGTTGATATAAAGAAATTGTCATTTGCCACTAACTCTTTGAGATTGTTTCTGTCTATAACAATTGAAATAAATATTGTCATATAACACTAGAAGTAAACATAAAGTAGTAACAAATACAACCAGATTAGTAAAAACGTTAAAATACAAAATTAATATGTACAATAAACTACCAGTTAGTATATCTGACTTAGAAATGGTCGCATTCAAGCACTTTCTAAAACCTTACTTTGAAATTGAAATTTAAATGTATATTCAATTTCTTAAAAAATTATACCCGTATACCTGAACTCTGTATTTTCTGTAATTTGACTTACCTATAGGCAATGTGCGTTGTCTTGATGAATAAATATTTTGACTATGACTTTCACTCTTAAGAAATCTAAACAAGAAATCATAAAAACCACTAGAAATTAAGAATAATTTTATTGAAATAAAAATCGGTTTTAAAATCTAATTTTCAAAATTGAAAAGCGCTAGACGTTGTATAAACCAATGGTAGGTAAATTCGAGTCGAGTTCATACCTGTAAAAATCGGTTAGTTTAAATTGGAGCGCGTTATATAGAATTCGTCGCGGACAGTTGGCAGTACTGGCTGAGACACACTTAACAATTGTAAATCTTCTTTCTGTCATATCGATAGCATACACTATACTATTTTGGCCCATTCAGTTAATGTCAACCGCGGCATTAGCAGACTCCATTAAATCCTCAAGCATGCAGGTGTTAGGACACGATGCGAAATGGGCCGTCGTTAGAATCGTACCGCACAAACAATCTAGGTTAGAACCACTCGAAAATCCCCACCTGAACAAATTGTCCTTACTTCGACCAACTCGAGTCCGAACCTTATGTAAAGACTCCCAGATCAGCCATGGCAATTTATATTCAGAAGGATACTGTAAATGATATATGTGAACAAATGTCGATTAACAAACAGAAACTTTCAAAGTAGATAGTAATCAATGTGGCGATTTCAAGTGTAATTAGTAAATAAAGATGTTATAGAATTTGTATTACAGCCATCAATTTAAATTACTGAATTTCTTTACAGCTCAAGTCACCAACGGAAGACTCTAGCGGTGACACAGTGGGAAACGGCGACGGTCCCCCGGCTAATGGTTCCATCTTCACAATGACGCTGAAGAACAACCATCTTATTGTGGAGACGGAAGAGAGGAATGTAAGTATTGATCCGAAGATACACGATCTGTCTCTGCTAATCTTAATGACTTTCGGAGGAGATTAAAACTTACCAGGTAACTAAACTACACAGTAGAAATAGCTAGTTTTACAGGTATTTGTGATACGGACTTTAGTAGCTCTGCATAAGCACTTATAAAAAAATATGTATTAAAAGCCATATTCAAAGATCTTGATTATTTGGTTGGTATACATACGTATATAAAAGTCATTACGCCATTAAATTGGCAATTTTAAGGTCATCCCCAACATGATCGTAGTGGTATGTACGTAGAGGTTTGTCTTTCTCTACGTGTCTAGCGTGTGTAAAGCTCCTTGTAAAAGAGTACGTCCAAGGAAATACTGTCACCTTACCTATTTCTATCGCCAAACAGTAATGTGAACATTACGCAATAGGCACATTAGGCTGCAATAGCAGTAGCTATAATGTAATCGGCTTGTCAAATTAAAATTATCCTTAGTGTTATTTCGGTTAACTCTTTGAAAGAGTTTGTTATTTATCTAGCTTTTTTTACAGATAAACAAGTCGTGCGTCTGGTGGTAAACGTAGCGCCTAAATTACAAATTACCTGTGCGCCTGTCACCCTAAGACATAAAGTTGTTTTCTGTGTTTTCTGTGCCTGTAATTTCAACAGCACTAAGGGTGCTCTTCAAAACCTGAACGCAGTAATGCTCACGCTACTGCTTGGCAGTAGAATTACTTATGGTGTCAGTATTTCCCTGGACTTACTACTATTGACATATACATTGCGTAACAAATGGTATTTAATGTACATTCATTTTCGGAGCGATTAGTGTACATCCATAGAGTGAGTAATTTATCACGCGCGTCATTTGTAATACGTCTCCAGGAATGTAGATTTGATATGAGGCTTAGTTGCTCTATCAATTACGACTGGGTTAGAGAGTTTCTGTTTAGATTCATAATGTGTTTAATTATATAGCTATGTGTACTGGACCAAATTGGCCATGTGTATTTTGGGACAAGAGGCCAGGTCAACACTTTTAATTCGATAGGAAAAGTGTACGAATTGTATATATTGAATGTATGTAATACTGACAAGGTTTTTACGTGTATCGTTTTGAATATATTCAAGAAACTAATATCTTAACGAATTAAAGTGAAAATCTTTTGCTAATGCAACAACTTTTGATGTATTTTTTGTTATTTTCAGGACATCACTAAAAATGGCCGCGAAACTAAAATGAAGTACTCTCCAGACAACGATGGAATTTTCGTAGTAGAAGTGCAACAGTCAACCGCTTACAGACCTAACAACAAAAACCTTCAGAACTCTCCACCGCATGATCCACAGATTTCCACCAATCAAGCTCTAATCCATCACGTCCCAGAAGAACTGGAGAAAAAACTTGATGAAGACTGTGACAAAAGCGAAAAGTTCACCGCTGAAAGGGCTATCGCTTTATCCAGTACAGGCCTCTCAATTTCTGATCTAAGTATGTCTTCAAATGGTTCGCATAACATTAGTTACTCTTACGGAGGTCAATTCGGTTATGAACAAGGTCCTTTCGGCTACCCAGTGTATGCTGGCTATGATATATCCAAAGAAGAAAGTAGTAGTAATGGAATTATTCATGACAATTCTCAAGAACCGCTAATTAGTAAAACCCCTACAGATCCTGACAAACCTGTGGTTACTGCAGCAATTTTCAAGCAAGATTCGATAATCGGCAATGATGCTTTACAAGGTCCTGCGTATTGTATTGAAGGTTCAAGCGATGGACCGTTGTTATCTGATGTCCAAGCCAGGGAATTCAGTTTACAGCATCTCCTAGAGAAGAAGCTTGAGAATGGCGTTGCTGTACCGATTCCCGAAAAGATTGAAAGTCCTAAGAAAGCGTTAAATAGGACTGACAGTTTACCAGTTCGTTTAGAGACAGAAAAAGTAGAAGTAGTTGCAGATGAAAACAATGTGAAGAACACCATAAAAGAGAATGATATGATAGATGAACTAAATTCTAAAGAAATATTCAAAGGTAAGAGAGCATCTTTGCCTATTATAAGTACAGACGTATATGAGTCTGTTAAGGAAGCTATGAGGCCATCTGGATCTCCAAAATTTGAGAAGCTGACGAATGACTCCTCGCCAGGAGAAGCCTTTGATGCTCCTCCGTTGATCACGATCACAGAGGAGAATGAGAGCAAGTCTGATAATGCGAGTTAATGAGAACTAATGGTTACATTTTAGCCAACAGACTGCACTATTACAGATAAGACAGAGGGCTGTTTGATATCGAAAATGACTCATTATCACAATTATCTTCCAAATTAAGTCAAAACAGTGAGATTTATTAAGAGGGTTATTATTAAAAGATTTCACGGTTTGGTTAAATTTTTTTGTTCAAACAGTGGCTCTATTGACTTTCAAAATACTAATTCTCAAAGAGGGTTTCAATATTATCCAATGTAAATAGATATAAGTGAAAATGTGATTAGTTTGGAGAGCATTAAATTTGTTAATGCGATATTAACGTACGGTGTCGACGTGGTAGCATTATTTCAAAGATTGCTTTTGCAACAATGATTTTTTTATTTTGGGTTTTGAAAATTATTTGTAAAACTGTGGGTTATCAAACCCACAGTTAATCACAACTCTTAAACAATTACAAAAAGAAGCTATGAGTACCTTAGTGAAAATGTAAAATACTTTCAAGTATAGAATGCATGCTATCATACAACTTTCTGACTTTCCTGAAGCTTTTGATTGCGTCGATCATTTATGAATAATACTCTTAGCTCCTCTTTGTGATTGTTTAAGAGTTGATCTGAGTATATACTCTATCTAGTATCTAATAAAGTATATATTTTTTTAAACAATATTATTACTGTTATCAAAGGTAAGGAAAAATATGTGAACATTAAGTTATTAAAATTATTAATACAAAGATCGAACACTCAGAAAAAATTCCATCGATCCAGCCGGATTCGAACTGTCTTCTAGCTTACCGTGCTTAGTTGGTATAGCGTTTGGCACGGTAAGCTAGAAGACGTCGGTTCGAATCCGGCCGGATTGAAGGAATTTTTTCTGAGTGTTCGATCTTTGTATTAATAATTATAACAAACTAGTGGAGTAATTTCACAAAAAATAATTAAATATCAATTCAATAAAAATTTAAAATTAAGTTATTGATGTCAAGATATAAAATGTCATATTATTCAATAATTAAATATGTATTATATAGAATATGATTTTAGTCTAGTCGTTTTCAACTGCATCGACACCGTACCACACTACTATATGTAATTTGTAAATTCTAACTAGTGGTAGTGTAAGCTTCGTGTTACCGTTCCGTTTCCGATGTTTCCGTTCATGTTATCGTAGCTCTATCCAAATGTTGACATGTTTGTCTATATTTCATGTATATATATATATATATGACCTATATGTAGGCATGGTTTATGTTCAAGGCGTAGGAGCAATTTATATAATCTTGGCGTCGTCATAATTTCTAAAAATCTATATTTCTGACCAATTTATCAATAGGCTCATCATCAGCATCCATAACCCGACTTCGATCACTGTTGCGTATATTCCTCACGTTTGTGATATCCACCACAATCTTGCTCTAGTCTCCTCTGTAGTCCCCGACTTTAACCATGTTAACTGCCCATCTCATTACAGAACGTGACACGTTTCTATAACAGTAAAGCTTCTTGTGAAAGATTTCTTCCAGGGAAGTACTACCACTTTACCTTTTTTCGATATTAAAGGGTGAGGGTGCTGGTGAAGTTACAGGCACAAAAACTTGTCAACTTAGTGCCTCAAATCTTTATGATTTAAGGCTTTGGGTGGCACTGCAACTGTTATGGACATACGTACGACTTGTTTGTCTCGTCGCTTGATATCATAAATCAATCGACGAGCCATTCCATTAAGCCATGCCTTTATTGCCGTAGTCTAAATAGAGACAATCCATTATTGAGATTTTCCAGACTAGTGATAAAGACAATCTGACAATAAAAGACTAAATTAGAGCAATTTCAAATTTTTCGAGGCAATACCTTCCTCACCACACGTGCATTGAATTGGCTCATGTAATGACCTTGTGTGACCGTGCATCCTGAGCCACAACACTGGTTTGCCTTGCCGTTTAGTAAAGAAACTTATTGTAATACTGGCTGTAGTGTAGAAGGACGTTGCGAATTTCGCATTTTTCACTAGACTGGCTTCATGATTTGGCTTCGTGGAATGGCTTGTCCATTGGTCCTGTGTAAATGGGCCATAATTGTAGAATTTGAAGAGCGCATGGACAATCTTGCTGTATATATAAACATAATAGGTTACTCCTAAGCTTTTCCACTATTTAATTATTATCTGTGGCCAAATTAGGTATTAACAGATAATATAAGTAAATATTTCAAATAGTTAGCAGTTGACAATTTAATTTAGTAATTCTGTAAAATATTTTAAATTTACCTCTCTCGTACGGCTTGTAGTAAATGACTGTGTTAAGAATGTACAGTTGTATAAAATCTGTAAAACACTTCGTTGAAGCCTCCGGTGACAAAAACGATGCTGGCTATTTTTGTCAAAGCATAAGTTTGGTTATTGTAAGAAGAAACTTTAGCACTATACTCCAGGGCTTTTTTTCTGGAAAAAACTTTGTTCTAAACAAATTTAAAAAATGTAAATATCTAATTTTTTCGTTTTTTCGATTGCTGTGCGCTGGAAATAAAACTATTCTTTTTTTGGATCTATATAATAAACAAACCGACGTTTCGGGCCCTTTACAGGTCCCATGGTCAATAACCACTGATCATTGTGATTCCATTCAAGTGTCAATATTTGATTATATTAATAATTGATATTCTGCTAAAATCAAGTTGTAATATCAATTGAGTCTAGTGTTGTAAAAAACTCGAGTCCGGGACATTTAAGGACTCAACTCTAATTCACAAGACTCGACTCATAAAGACAGACTCCACTGATCGAGGTATTATGAGCCTATCGAGTTTCCGTACAGACTTGAGTTCGATGTTAGTGCTCGAGTCTAATTATGTAACAAGTGGCGCTCAAGTCTGGTACTGAACGGTGTTGGAGTGTGGTGTGTTAAACTGTAGTACAATTACTATAGTATAATTAAGTATTTTTTTAACCACCATATTGGATTTTTGTTTTTTATTTAAATCGTGGGTAATAGAATTGAACCCTGCTTGTCGTACTCGACATTGTAGAAGAAGTCGCATCGAGTCGGTTGTCGAACCCAAGTTATATTCAAAGCTCGAGTTAGGTTTACGACTCGAATTATTTTTAGGCTCGAGTCCGTGTTCCGATGACTCGCGCTCGACTTGACTTTGATTGGTGAGTATTTTAGACCGCCGAGCTGCTCAAAATTGAGTCGAGTTTATTTATGTAGACTCCCGGACTTGAGTTCTTTACAACACTAGTTGACTCTCAATAACTCTAAAGTTAAGTTCTAAAGCCCCTCGGCAGTAATACTAAACTGTGACAAAAAAGTGTTGGCGGCGGCGGCGTTTCGGCGGCGCGAGCGCGACCCTAAAACGAATTTGTATGTTGGTGTTTGTTTTTACAAAAACCGTTCTACAAATACTTTTTCAAAAGAAAAAATTAAATAACGTATATTCTATAGTAATCAAATTTTTATCAGTTCTATCAGGCGCTCGATCGTACGCACGCGCACGCTTCCATATTGTATATGCGTAATGAAAATGGCGACGCCAGAAATTGACAAATTAATTTTTTAAACAAAACATCTTTAGATATACTATATAATCACTAACTAAATTTTGTCGCCTATCTATGTCACCTCTGCTGAGGCCGGACGGCACGTTGGCCTACATTGTCGAGGACAAAGCCAATCTTTTTGCCTCACTCTTTGCAAAGAGTTCGCGTCTGGATCTAATCTTACCTCAGGCTGGCTGCACTATGGCACCAATTAGGATACGCCAAAAAGAGGTACTTAGAACTCTATGGAATCTAGACGTGAATAAAGCTAGCGGGCCAGATGGAATTCCAGCACTAGTCCTACGTAACTGTGCGCCTGAGCTGTCTCCTGTTCAAACATGTACTCACACGTACGCATGTACCACCTCTCACTTGAGACTGGTGTAATTCCCAGGTCTTGGAAGCTTGCAAACGTGCAACCTGTGCCGAAAAAGGGAAGCACAGCTGACTCTGACAACTATAGACCTATCTCAGTCACTTCCATACTCATTGAAGGATTCCGAAGAGGGCGATCAACTGGGGATCTTCTTGTGTATGCCTGTCACATATGTCTGACACGCAAACCTTTTAAGTAAGCTTCCCTTTTATGGGCTTTCCACTTTTCAACTGGATCTCAGATTTCTTGAGTGAACGTTCCATTCGAGAGGACTTAGAAGGCTACTCTTCCGGACATATGGCGATAGATTCCTCAGGATTCCGTTCTGTCTGCAACTCTCTTTCTGCTGCATATCAATGATATCTTAATTCCAGGTACCTTTGCGTATGCTGATGACAGCACAGTTGTAGATAGGTACTTGACCAATGCAAGGGTCAGTGGAAAGGAAATCCAGTCTTGTCGAGAGTCTATGATTGGCCGTTTGAATTTGACACTCAAGGCAGTCTCCGATTGGGGCGATGCCAATCTTGTCAAATTTAACGCTACCAAACACAGGCGTGTCTATTCTCCACAAAACGGAGTCCCTTTGAGCTGACTCCGACTTTTCGTGATATATCCATACCGATAGCCGACTGTCTCCAGCTACTTGAAATGGACCTGTCGTCCTATGCGCGCCGACGCGGCGCTCATGTCTAGCAATGACATTCATTATGTCATTAAAATACTGACGATCGATGTTGTTACTAAAACTACCATGGAAATGTGTACCTTAATTATTACATCATTTAAAGAGCAATTCAGTGTTCTAATTAAATGTATTTTCTTTATGTCAAATAATTAGTAGACTGTGTCATCGACGTGTCATTGATGGCAGTTAAGTAACAGCTCGATGGCTAGCTAATGATAAACCTTAACTTTTAGCATAATATCAAACGTTCAAAATTCTGGCATTGACACTCTATCGATATATAACTGAGGGCGCGTCCTGTAACGTCGTAACGTTCTATTAGACTGTCGAGTCTAGCCTGTTCCTATATCACGACTGTCTGTCGTGACTTTGTCGTGGACGTTTATTTTATCATTGAACGACTGTCGTGTCAACTTGTTCCCACTAGATCGCGACGACAATTTATCGGTTAACTGCAGCCGCCTTGTCGCTTGCACGACAGAATCGTTTGAAGCTGCGATTATCTGACGTTACATTTTTATCGTAACGCGACGACGTCGTTCTAGCTCTTCCCATTGTCACGACAGTCTGTCGTAACATCAAAATAGTTGTGTACGTTAGTTAATCGTGTTGTACTATATGTGAACAACTTCATTTAAATATACAAGCCACGACACTTTAAACGGAACGCGCTCTGAGAATTTAAACTTGGGCCCAGTTTCGGTTTTGTTTCTTGATCACCAGACACAACTTTGACTTGTTCTAATTAAGTTGAAAATGCTGTGTAGCGAGTAAATACAATATGTATTATATTAAATAAGTAAATGGAATATGTAAAATAATTTCCCATTTGTGAATTTTTGTTTAAAAAAAATAGAATGGAATTGAAAATCCATTGTAGTTAGGTACATTTTCGACTAAAACAAAATTC